ATAAGCTTTCGTGGGTAAGAACCTCACATCTTCAGATGCAAGTGAAGAAGTGAGGTTCTTGCATCTGAAGAAGTGAGGTTCTTACCCACGAAAGTTTATGCTCCCAATACTTCTGTTAGTCTCAAAGGTGCCACAGGACCCTCTGTTGCTTTTTACAGATTCAGACTAACACGACTACGCCTCTGATACTTGTCTATTTACTGTTTCCTGAGGCAATGTGAATACTGGGTCCGTGGTATGTAAAGGGCCTGACACTGATCTCACACCAGGAGTACCTTCACTGAATCAATGCTACTATTCCAGTGAAAAACTGGAATAAGAGAGACCAGTATCAACCACAGAGTATCTGATACAGAGTGTGGGTTCTGGTCTGAGCCTTTAAGTGCCACCACCATCCTTCAAAATGGAATTTCATAGACCATATGAACCTTATTTCCAAGGGAGATGGAGTGCTTGCAGCAGGATATGTATATGTTGCTAAAACAAGGCTTGCTGTGCACAGCCATGGCAGTTACAACATAAGATATATCATAAAGCATGAGGGGAAGATATTGGAATGTGTCTTTTTAAGAGATTTGGCGACCATGTGCAAGTTAATGTAACTACATAGGAAACAAGGCAAGAATTACCTAAAAAGGCAAACATGGAACTTTCCATTTTGGAAGGGCATTGTTAAGTGAGGTTGGAAATTCTTTGACAAGAAGTATTAAAATTGGATTTTGAAGACAGGAATCAGCCTGACAGCAAAATGCTTTCTTCACTGTGTATGGGATATAAATTAGGCAATTACATATTTTTTTCAAAGACTTATTAGCGGAATTGTCCAATTTTCTTCTGACATCTTTCAGTTTGATTCTGGACTGCTATCACCTACATAGCATGCATCAAAGATAAAAATATTCACTAGTTCTTTTCTCATTAAAACGTCAGATTCTGGAGCCAAAAATGTAAATGTCTGTCTCAGTTTCCTGCTAAATTAAATGCACACTTCTTGGTTTTACTGAGAACGAACAATGTTGGAATTCTGGACAGGAGAATGTGATTAGATCTATCAGAGCAGAGAGAGTGAGAAAGCCTCTCTTATCAGTTGCTTGTACTTGTGGCTTTGTTTTTTGGGGATAGTAGTGACTAACTTACTTTTCCATTCCCTCCGCTCCTTTTTTTTAAAACTGAAAAAGAGCACTAACTCAGCACCTCCATCACTGAAGCAGAACTATGGATTAAAGTGAAAGATTTAGGGAGAAATGGAAAACTGGTTCATCAATGCAATACAACAGGAATGATCTTTCTGAAGAAATTAAATTATTAGACAATTTAATGTCCACCTCTACCCCCATATAACAGGACCCAATATAACATGAATTTGGATATAAAGCGGTAAAGCAGCGCTCCAGGGAGGCGGGGCTGCACGCTCCAGCAGATCAAAGCAAGTTCGATATAACGCGGTTTCACCTATAACGTGGTAAGATTTTTTGGCTTCCGAGGACAGCGTTATATCGGGATAGAGATGTAATATAAAAAAATGAAAAATCTGATAATAAAAAAATGATAGCCATATGAACCAAATCAATTAGCAGATATCTAAACTCCAACTATGCCAACCTCTTTGATAATAGGTAATAAGATTTTAAATAGTCTACCAATCTAGTTGCTTTTTACTCCACTTGTGAAATACATAGGAATAATAACAGCTTGTTAGCTGATGCCAGGCATAAGGAAATCAGTCTCAATGAATTTTACTCCATTGTTTATATTGATAGTGGCAATTCATCTTAGGGTAAAAGATGGCAATATGTGATGCTGATAATGGGACTCATGCCACAAAAGAGGCAACTGCTATCCTAAAATGCATCACTGATGGTGTGCATTAATTTATAAATAATTCCTTTACTAAAGGAGAGAGAGAATAAATTTCCTTGATGGATCATTTCACAAATAGGCAAAAGGAAATTACTTCCCTGTAAGTCTTACTATCTAATGGCCTGATTTTGCAAGGTGCTAGACAGACTAAACTCCTAAAGGTATAACTTGTAACAGAGCCCTGCATTTTGGCCGAGGAGCGCACTATGAGAGGTGTGCTCTTAATACAACCCTGGAAGTGACTGCTTAGGCCAAGAGGCTCTTCTGTAACACAAGCATAGCTGCTGACTTCAGGGGTGTTCTGGGGCTCTAGCACCCATAGAAAAAAAATAGGGGCTCTGCGCACCCACCTGCCACAGCTTTTTGGCGGTGCTGCTGATCAGCTGTTTGGTGGCCGGTGGAAGATGCTCAGGAGAGAGCAGTGAGCGGTGGGTGGGGAGCCTCAGGGAGGGGGCAGAGTGAGGGCGGGGAGAGGTGGAGTGAGGGCAAGGCCTCAGGGTAAGGCACAGTGTAGAGGAGTGGCCTCAGGGCAGAGCAGGGGTGGAACATCCACTCGGAATAATAAAAATCAGCACCTGTGAACATAAGCATAGTCCACTGCATTGCTCCTTCTGGTGGCTGCATAGATTAACCTCATTTTAAATAGATTCCACTAGTTCGGGATTAAGAAATCAGACGCTGCCTCCTAAATTTGCATCTCTCACTGTGCAGTGAAATGTGCTACTGGCAAACTAAGTCAAGTCACCCGAGGATCTGTTAAACAGTAGTATGAACCCCACTCTGAAATATAACTTAAAAAAACATTGTGGAAGGAGTGGATAAGAGCATTTTCAGGCAAGGGTGAGAGAAGATGAAAGTTACATTGGAACTGGTTAAAAGCAAATGGCTAAAAATATCTACTTTAAGCTGAAATGTCAATACAGTATTAATAGCTGTTGCATTTGGAAAACTCAGCTTTGAACTTCTGACGCTACAAGGAAGACTGCATGTGTTCTTTTTTCCTAACAGCTTCTGACAAAGGCCTTTCATAGACGCTAAGTGACAGAGGCTGAACCCTGCTGATAAATGAGGCAATGTAATTAACAATTGCCAACTGAGACAAAGAACGTGCATATGAAAAGAATTGCTAGTGACAGAACTAAAAGGGCGGGGTTTGTTTTCCTTGCAATTTGTGTGGGTGGAGCAATTTCCTTTTTTAACATCTATGTCAGTTCCTTTATTTATAAGCAATAGCTTAACTTCCTTGTACTTTTCTGTTTTTTTTTCTTTTAATTGGATCATGACTTTGCTTTCCACTCACTTTCTGGCCATTAAAAATAGTTTACTATGGCATCTGATGAAGTGGGTATTCACCCATGAAAGCTTATGCTCCAATACGTCTGTTAGTCTATAAGGTGCCACAGGACTCTTTGTCGCTTTTTACAACCAGACTAACGCAGCTACCCCTCTGATATGGCTACTATGTCACTATAAAACCCCTCAGTGCCATTGGTAATTAGGGCTTTGATTTCTGACATTTTATATGTTAAAAAAATGAAACACCATCCCAAGTGACTAGTGGGAGAGAGTACATTATGTGTCACCATATTTGCAGTGTGAAGAAATTATATATGCCAATTATTTGGTCATGCAGTCTACTCCAGCATTCTGACAGTGGAACATGCCTTCAGTATAGCAGTGCCTGAAGCAGTGACTGCATTAGAGGCAGTATCAGTGTTTCCATTATGAACCCCGCTTTTCAATTATTTAAAAATTTAGTAGCACCACATTGGTTCCTGGCTAAACGTGACACCCATGGATTCAACTGGGGAGAAGGTTTTAAAAATCCTATTTTAGAAAGCGTGAGAAATCACACTCAGCTTAAATTCAAAGGATTTAGAAGTTATTCCATTTTTTTGTCTAGGTAAATAGCAGGTTATTAGAGGTAATGTTTTGAAAATGGACAGTGAGCACAACAGGACTAAACAAGGCCTTGTTCAGTTTAAAGTTGGATTTTCTTTGTAGGGTTACCATACGTCCGGTTTTTCACGGACATGTCCGGCTTTTTGGTAATCAAACCCCCATCCGGGGGGAACTGCCAAAAAGCCGAACATGTCCGGGAAAAATACCGCCGGCTGGGCACTTCCCCTCCCGCAGCTGCTGTGCTCCCTATCTTGACTCTTCTGCTCTGTTTAAAGCCGAGCTGCCCGAGTGCTACCGGCTTCGGGCAGTCCCCATGCCTCCGAACCCTGAGCCGCCGGCCGGGCACTTCCCCTCCCGGGCTCCGGGGGCGCAGGGTCC